GTCTTCTCGCTTCTCCCGTGCTCCCTGCGCCGTGCCCGGCAGAGGGAGCTGGGTCTTCACTTTTGCTTGCCACAGTGAGTGCGAGGCTTGGCAGGGCGTTTCCGGGTGAGTGAGGAGGGCTCGGCTTTCCCTCCTTAGGCCCGGTCTGTACGGCCCAGCCCCGGAGCCGGATTCCTTACGGTTCACACGTTGCGTGGCCACCCCGTCAAGCCGTGCGCCGGGGTCAGCACAACCAGGGCGTTCCTGTTTTCCCAGCAGTGAGGCACGCAGGTGGTTGACACCCCTGTTGCCTTGATTTGTGTCGTAGACTTTGTTTCAGGAACGTGGCAAACCTGTTATGAGATTCTCTGGTCTTAGGTACTATGGGGCAGCTGCCTCTCGTTTTCTTCAGGGTGGGACCATCCTCCTGAGAGCAGTCCGGTAGTTCTCGGCACGCAAAAGGTGTTGGAGAGCAAACAAAGCTGGCGCCCATGCAAGCTGGAGAGGCAGAGGCAGAAGCTGGCTGGCTGCGTGTTGCGTGGCCCCAGAGAACGCCGATTCTCTCAGCAGGACACCCTCCCGGCCTGCACGTTCACGTGACGAGCGATGGTTGGGCCGTGCCAAGCCGGCTGTCACACCTGTGGTGACAGAGGTGGTGTTAATGGAAGAGGTTGAGAAAGCCAGACCTGCAGCATGTGGCATCTTCTCCATAGGTTTCTTGGGGAGCTTCAGTGAGCTGAAGTGATCCTGCCGGCAGCCCTGTCCCTGAGGCTGAGTGCATGTGTGCATACACTATTTACGTGTCTGCTCTTCTCCCTCTTTTCCTGTTGCTTGCCCAGGGAACCTGCAGCTCTCGCCCGTGGGACCTGCCAGGCCTGCGTCTATCGAACGCGTCCAAGGTATCTGGGCACCCGCCAGCTCCCTCCTCCCGTGGAGCTCACCGGGGAGCATGCAGAGAGCAGTGTTCACCCCGCAATGCTCAGGGCTGGGGAGTGGTGCATCACTCTGTATAGCCTGGCAGTATTAGGAGGAAGAGGCAGAATTTTCTCCCTGCCTGGAGGAGAGAACAGGCTAGCACAGAGAGCCATCAGTGGAAAGGGGGAGCCTTTGCCGAGGGTCCAGCTTTGCTCCTGGCCCCACGTCAGCAGGGTGTTTGTACCCACGCTCGTAAGGATTGCCATGGGGGCACCTATGCTCGCTTTGGCTGCCTGGTGCTGTAAGGAGCCTGAGGTAGAGCCAGGGAGGGAGAGACAAGGACAAAATCAGCAGCCAGGGAAGGGACTTGGGGTACATTGGCCTCAGCCGAGGGGCTGCCCGCCCCCAGGCGATGAGCGCAGCTCTCCAGCCTGTGT